AATGTTATGCAAATGGTTAAACTTGTGGTTCAAAAGCATTTTAAGCTATCTAGTGAGTTAGCGATACTTAAAGGAATTACAAGAATGCCAGGGGAAGCTCCGGCAAAGCTGGCTGATAGAATACAAACATACACTAGGTTAACAGCGGCAGCTACAAATCTTGAGGATTTGAAGCAACTTGTGTTAGAGGCAATGCCTTCTGGGGTGTTAGATTGGATGAAGGCTTGGTGCGAGAATGGAGGTAGAGATATACCCTGGAATGAATGGATTGAAAAAGTGGAAACTGCAGTTAAACAATAGGAAGGAACTCCTGTCAATGAGTGGCGAACACAGTTAGGACAGTGGAAAACAGAGGGTCCTGGATACTCTCCCCGCGGCTGTGGCTGGGGTTGGAGAGGTCACGGAATGAATAAAGGCAGAGGAAGAAATGGAGAGAGTGAACGGGTAGCGCCTGGAGTTTTGAAACAGGAGAACTTAGATCTTAAGGGAGAGATTGAGAAGCTGTGGGCACAGTTGCAGGCACGTATGATTGGCAAGGAGTCTCGAAAGGAGGAAGATAAGACAGGGATGAAGGTAGCTCAGGTGACGGTCTTGGCATCTGGACTGAATGACCCGATTGTCACTAATTCAACAGAATAGGACAGCCCTCCCTGTAACTCGGAATGCATTTTCCAGCAACCCATGACAATAGATGTCTGGGGATGCCCCCACTTAAGCATCCGAGTTGGGGATGGGCTTGTAGATTTTCTGTTGGACACAGGCTGGAATTCCAATAGTAAAAGATGAATTTAATGTATATCCAATCGGGGATTCCGTTCAGATCCAGGGCATATCAGGAACTAAGCAAACATATAATGTTAAAACCCTCCCTCTCCAGTTTGGTGTACATACCATTCAGGAAAAGTGTGCTATCCAGGGCCGGCTCCAGGCACCAGCCCACCAAGCTTGTGCTTGGGGCGGCACCTGGAGGGAGGTGGCACAGCGCGGTGATCCGGCTCCGGCCGCCGGGGAGAGCGGAGCCGCAGTGGGCTCGTCGCCCTCCTCCGGTGCTCTGGCTGCCGAGGAGAGTGGAGCTGCGGCGGGCTCGCCGCCCTCCCCACAGCACTCCGGCCGCCAGGGAGAGCGGAGCCACGGCCAGGCTCTCCGCCCTCCCCCCGGTGCTCTGGCCGCCAGGGAGAGCGGAGCCACGGCCGGGCTCGGCACTCTTCGCTGCCGTGCTCGGGGGGTGGGCGGCGGTAGGCTTTTTTGCCTGGAGTGGGAGAGAAGGGAGAGAAAACTTTTATCACAGGGAGAGAAAACTTAATTGGGGCAGAAACTATTAAGTGACTGGGATTAATTCTAGATTTTCCAAATATGTGTATTAGACAAACTCTCACTGTAACCGAGGATTCAAATGACACTAACTTGATCCCTATGGGGCTTGCTACGCAGACAGTAAAAGCAATAAACTCTAAACAGCCACCTCCTTCGCCGAAAGGCTGGGAAGGTTGGTGGGCTGAGATTCATGCCGTCTGGGCAGCAGACTCCCTAGATACGGGAAAAATGCAGACCTCCGTCACTTTAGAAGGGGATACACCCCCCTACATAAAACAATACCCAATCCCTCAGGAAGCACAAGAATCTCGAAGACAAGTAATAGAAGAATTGGAAAAACGAAAATTGATTAGAAGGTGTTCGGCACCTAATGCGGCACCAATCTGGCCAGTTAGAAAACCTGATGGAACATGGAGATTAACTATTGACTATCGGGGGTTAAACAGAACTGCCAAAACGAGGAGCACCAGTGGTGGCTGCCTACCCAGAACTATTGGCGGTGGTAACCCCTGATTTGAAGTGATTCTCAGTACTCGATGTGGCAAATGGCTTTTGGAGTTTACCTTTAAACCCAGAGTCCCAATACAGAACAGCTTTTGTGTTCTGTACAAATACAGGGTGTACAATACTGTTGGAATGTTTTGCCTATGGGGTACTGTGACGCACCCACAATATTTCATACTGTAGTGAGAAATATGCTAGAAAAGGAGGAATTGTTACAAAAGGGAAGAATAGTCCAGTATGTAGAGGACATTTTAATAGTCAGTGAAACAGAGCAAGAACACGAAGCGTTAATGCAGCGGTTGCTGACTAGCTGCAGAAAG